TCCCTCTGCTTTCTTCCCTGCAGATGGAGACATTCCAAGCAGATCAGACAAATTGCCATCCCTAGATAGTGACCTTCTTAACTACCCAGCCTTTGTCCCTGCCTGCAGTGCCTCTGAGCTGTGGAAGCCTATCTAGGATTCCCTTTTGATTCAACACATCCTGGGAATGTACACTAGGTGGTGCTCCCTCCAAGCTGCTCCAGAAGTTGAAATGGAAAGAATGGACCTACAGCTGGGTTCACCCCCAAGAACATCAGTCATGAGTCTATGTGACTCTCCCTGCCACCCTTGCTCCTCTTCCCATCCAGTCTCCCACAGGAAGCTCTGATCCCCTCCAGAGAGCCTGAGGGTCTGTTCAGCCCAACATCAGGCTGATACGATACTCACTGGTTCTTCTCCAACTCCAGCAGGAGATCCTGGCCTTCAGCCTTTAGGGCCACCAGCACCACATCTAGCTTTGTGATCTGAGCAAGAAGGAACGCAAGCTGTAATAGGGGCCTCTAGGCCACCTGCCTGCCAGGGACAGGTAGGATGTGGAGCTGGCTAGCTGAGAAAGTTCATAGGAACAACAGGCTGCTGCCATGAGTCATGGAGGGAGTGAACGGGTACGTGTGTGTCTGGGGGTCAGGGGAGACACGACATAGGTATTCCCAATGTCTGTGTAACAGTAGCCCCTTGAAAGTATTTAAACACGGGGTTCCCTAGAGACAGGAGTTCCAAAAGGTGCCCTGTGTATGCCAGGCATAGTAGTACATGCCTGTAATCCCAGTACTTAGGAGCTGGAAGCAGGAGGATCATGAATTCAAGGCCTGTCTTGACTACATAGCAAGTTGGAGACCAGTCTCCAACTTGGGCTATATAAGAACCCTCTCAGCCAACAAAAGGTGTCCTGCTTGCCAACAGTGACTGAGATTTTCCCTTAGCCTGTTCTCCTCTTTGGTTTCCAGAAGGAGCAGGTAAAACAGAGGACAATGAGTACCTAAGGACATTGCAGGCCATCTCATCTCATTTGGGGCTTGTTTGTGGGTTTTTTTTTTTTCTTTCTGTTTTTGTTACTGTTTTGGGGTTTTTTGTTTCTTGATTTTTTGTTTGTTTTTTGTCTTTTTGAGACAGGGTCTCCCGGTAGCCCCAGCTGGCCTGGAACTTACTATGTAGACCAGGCTGGCCTTGTACTCACAGAGATCTGCCTGCCTCTTCCTCCTGAGTACTGGGATTAAAGGCATGCCACTTATGTTTTTTTAAAATATTTTATTACTATTTTATGTGTATGAGTGTATAGCCTGCATGTAAGTATATCTGTGCCATGCAGTTCCTGAGGAGGTCAGAAGCCCCTGGAACTGGAGTTAAGGATGGTTGTTAGCTGCTATGTGGGTGCTGGGATTTGAACCTCGGTCCTCTGCAAGAGTAGTCAGTGCTTTTAAACACTGAACCATCTCTCCAGTCCCTATGTTTTGGTTCCTTTGTTTGTGGGGGTCTTTGCTTGTCTTTTGTTGTGGTGGTTTTTTGTTTATTTTGGTGCTTCAGATCAAACCCAAGACCTGGTAAATGCCTGCTATGCCACTGAGCTATACCCCCAGTCCTTTGTTTATGTGTCTTTGTGTCATTCCCTGTTGAACTCAGACTTTATTCCCACACCTCCAGTTCTGGCAAACTGCCCCATCATCTGAAATTTCTTGTGACCTCCAACAGACTGATCTCATATCTCAGCTTACAAAGCAAACATGACCCCCATCCTAGGTCCAGAAAAAAGTATTTTCTCAGCCAAATATCAGGAGAGAGGGATTTGGCTCTCCGGCAACCTCTCCTCTTTTACCCTCTTTGCCTCATCCCCCTTGTCTACATAGCCTGGCTAGAGGCCCAGAGTTGGAGCTAGCCCAGGAGATTCCTGGGAGGTTGCTGTATTTTTTAATGTTTTTCCCCACCCTTGCTGGCTCTCCCCTTTTATCCCAAAATGCACTGGGCTAGGACTCTGGCCAAGAGGCTCAGAGTATGGCAGGGGGACCCTTCCCCTGCTGGTGGAGAGTGGATGGCCTTCATTTCCAGAACTATAGGCCCCACAAGGCCCCAAACATGAGCTCACATGGCTGGGCTGCTACTTGCTTTATTGAGAAAAGGCTTGTATTGGGAGAAGGGCAGTGGCGCAGATGGACAGTTCCTGTCCCTCTGTAGCCCTTGCTGCATTCACTTCTTGCTCCTGGAATTCCTAATCCCTACTCTGTGCCCTATTCCCATCCTGAAGATGTATGCTGTTTGTGAAGAGGATACCCTGTTCCTTCTGTCCTGTCTCACAGGCTTCCTGGTGGCAGGTGCCAGAGTGTGCAAAGCAGGCCTGCTGGGACTCTCCTCTTGGTCATTGATTAAACCAGAGAGGGAGAGAGGCCACAGAGGGACCCCAATATGTGCCCAACCTCCCTTCCACAAGCCAGCTCTGCTTAATCAGTTGAGGAAGGTCTCAGAAGTCTGGGGGATCCCAAGTGAAGTCCCTATGTTAGAAGCCCCGGGATTCTGGAGACCCCAAGATATTGTGCCAATACTCTCCTGGCTTTGGACAGTGGAACTACCTTCCTTGCCTGACAATACAGAATCAAGCTCTCTCTAACTTGAGCAGCTGTGGGGAGGAGGAGGAAGGTGGTCAATAGTCTGAAGTCTTTTAGACCTTAGGAGGTCTCAGGCTTCTAGAACCAATGAGCTACTTGACCACAGTCTATTTTACAAACTCTCTTCAGTTTGCCCCTCTGTAAGATACTGACACTAGCCTCTCAGTGTGCAGCATTGATGTAATGGCACACACAGCTGAGTCATGAATATTCTGGGAGCATGTATGATGGGTAGGAATTGAGAGCAGGCTGGGTAGTATACTGAATAGCAAATTGGAGTGGGCTTGCATCTGGGGTGCCACGAGGGCAGTCACTGCTTCCTTGCCACAGGTGGATTCCAGCGAGGGAGGCTGAAATTTCAGGATAACACTGTGCCCAGAGTCACATAAACTTGGCCAAAGGAAGATATTTTGATGTCCATCCTTTGAAAGCTCCTCAAGCTAGGCATGGTGGCTCATGACTATGATTCCAGCACTTGGGAGGCTGAAGCAGGAGGCTCACATAGGAGTTCAAGGCCAGCCTACTCTACATAGTAAGTTCCCGGCTAGCCAGCGTTGCAAAGTAAAACCCTGTCTCAAAGAAAACAAAACAATAAAAACAAACAAAAAAGAAGCTCTTGAAAAGTTTCAGGCCTCAAACCCTGAATCCATCTCTGCCTGGTTGGGGTGGGGATAGCTTGCATACTTCCCCAATGGAGAGAAGACTTAGGCTAGGGATAAAAGGCGGTGGGGGAAACCCAAAATAACTTCCATGTGTGCAGACTCACGCCACCTAAATGTCTTCCCACTCTGCTTGCCCTGATGGAAGTGGCTAAGGATTAGTTCTGAGAGCCTCAGAAAAACTGTCACATTGTACTTGGGCATAGGGCAGAAGGGTTGAAACCCAGAGCCCCTGATGAGGACAGGGTAATAGATACTAACCGACTCATCTAGGGTGACCTTGAGCCAGTGTCCTCCACCCAGAACCCAGTGTGGGATAACTGGCTCTCCAAGGATATTTCCTAGGGTGAGGACAAAGCATAGAGTTAGGATCTGAGGAACAGGTAGGAAGTCAGCAGAGATGGAGAGGCCCTCAAGGTCAAGCTCTTTTGCGCACTCCTGAGCTTGGTCTGGAAGACGGCACTTTGGAATAAAGCCATCCCTGGAATGGAGCAGCTGCCAGGGAGGTGGCAGAGGGAGACTAGGGAGAGGTGGTACTAGGGAGGGAGCATCTCCCTTGGAGATTCGAGAGCTGTCAGACCTCGGGGTTAGGCCTGGGTTCAGAGATCACAGGAGGAAGCCCAGGCCTTCAGTGTAAAAGGGGTGGGAAGAAGAAGGCAGCCTGAGTATTTTTAGACTGGGCAACAGATGCCTTTAGGATGAGAGCTCTGTAACTGGAGGCTGCCTGTGTCTCCTCTACAATCTGAAAAAAAAAACAGCAGCCACATGTCTTGCCCAGAGTTCCCTGTTGGGGTGTTGATGGCAGGGCTCTCAGGAATCCTGGCCCAGAAACTGTGTTTTGTCAAAGTGAAGGGAGAACCACAGAACACAGCCTCAGTGCTCCCAGGCCAGGCATGCTTAAAGGGGCTCCAGGAGGAATCCCAGAGCCAAGCATTACTCAGTGGATGTGTGGAATGTTCCTCAGGAATGTTCCTGCCTCTCCTCCCCTATCTGGGTCCCAGCAACTCTCACAGGACCTATCCTGCAGAGACCAGGCCCCAGCATCTAGAGCCAGCAGCCAGGCCTCTCATCCCTCTGGCACTCTGTCCTCCAGTAGACCCAGCTCTCAGAAAAATAGCAGCAACAAAAACAAAACAGAACAAAACAGAAACCACCTACCACTAGCTCTGACCTCAGCCCTGTCCAGGCTGATGGGTACCTAGAGAGGTGGCTTAGCTTTTTCTGGGTCATCCCAACTCTTTTTCCTCTTCCATCTCCTATTCAAACCCCAGGCACCAAAAATCTGGAATATTAGCAGCTCCAGGAACCCCTTTTCCAAGTCATATGTGTTTCTTAGAAAGGGAGTGTGGCTTTGGAAAGAAGGCTGAAAAGGGAAGGGAGGGAAAGCAAGAGAAGCCTTTCTGGAGGCAAGGGAAGGTCTCTCAAGCCAGAGAAGGGTGTGAAAGACCAAGCTTTGTTGGTCCCAGGCCACCAGGGGTGCAGGTATGGTGTATCTGTGCACCCTATGATGTCCTGTGCATAGATGGGGCTGGCCAGGGATGCCTTCAGATGGCAGGGTTGGAGCTAGGAGTCTGGGTGGACTAAAGTAGGCAGCATAGAATCCCTCTCTCCCATTTCCATCACCTACTATCCCCTGGCTCAAAGTTAGAGTTTTCAGGAAGAGGGCAGTGGATTGCCTGGGATAAACCTCGAAGACTGCCCAGCCCAGCCCCTCCTGCCTCCTCCCTGATGGCCTCTACTTTCCACCAGCCAGATATTTGATCTATGGGGTTTAGAGAATCCTCCCATCCATTTGGAGAGACTGATAAGTGCCCCACCTTACCCCAAGTTGGATTACTCTGGAAAAAGAGAGCTTCAGTCTTCCCCAAGCACTGCTGGCCAGACAGCCTGTGTTTTGAAGATGTCCTTGTCTATCCAACCAAATAAGACAACTGTATAAACACCGGACACGTCGCCCAAGATGAAGGGGGAATGAGTCCGATGGGACAGCTAGTCCTAAGAGCAGAGCAGGATTCCAGGGACCTCAAAGGGTCCGGGGGAAGGCCCTCTGGCCTTGGAAGCTGGAGGTGCAGAGTGGCTCACTCTCAGAGGGAGCTCGGAGCTGGGCAGCTGCTGAGGGAGGGATGGTCTTGGCCCTCGGCTTTGTTAAGTGTGAGCAAGTCAGTCCAGGGAGCGCCTGGCAGATCCCCCGCGCGGCCGTGCACCCTCTGCCTGATCCAGTAGCGCCACTAGACCCCATCACCACCCGCCGTTTCACCTGCCCTAGGGCCGCACCCTGGCCCACACCCTCACCTGGAAACACCCGAGCGCCCCGCACCGGAGATGGGGGAAGCAGCAGCAGCAGCAGCAGCAGCAGCGGCGGCGGCGACCCCCCAGGCCTCCCGCACCCCCGGCCCATGGCTGAGAGCGCCCGGGCCTCCAAGGTCCGGCTGCCCGCCACCGGCTCCGCCCCTGAGGGAGAGAGGCCGTCCCACCGGGGCGCAGCCCTCCTATGTGGCTCCGCCCGAGCCCGTCGAAACACTGGCCCACGGGCCGCGAGTCCGAGGAACCAGGATGACCCTCCCGGGCGGGCCGCAATAGCCATGCCCGGTCGGGGCAGGAATCCAGCCTGCGGCTTCGGGTGCCCTCCGAGGTCCTATCCGTGGGGGCAGAGGGTGGGGAGGGCGGGAAGTGCCCAGAAGGCTCTTTGAGGACCACTGGGGGTACCCCGGGGCGCTGGACGATGCAGGACTGGACAGAGGGACACGTGGTCTCCCCGGAGACCTCTCCTCCCACTCTTCTACCTGCACTGCTTAGGGGAGCCTGAGAGAGGATCCAAGGATCTGCCCGGTGCTTGGAGTTCCCACTGCAGCCAGGCTGTCGGGTTTGGCTGTCCTCAGCCATAATGACCGCCAGCCTCTGCCGATGAGGTGCACCTGAGTACTTAGGGGCACACCAAGGCCAAAGCGCTGGAGAGCGTGGTTCTTGGCAAAGACAGTGTGGTGGGGGCCAGAGCAGACTTGTACTGTGCCACTGAACCCTAGGCACTAGGGGTCCTTTCTGATGTCTTGGGACCATTACTTTCTTTGAAAGATTACTTTGAGTACTAGGTATAAATTTGGATAGCAAGGGATTTTACTTTGAAACAAACCTATTTGATTCTGAGAATTTGGAATATTAAAATTTGCAGCAACAGAGAAAACTACATGTACATGATTAAAATTTAAAACAGTATGATAAATCAGGCCAGTGGTGCCCATTTGTGGTTCCAGACAGGACAGTTGATTGCCAGCTGGGCAACATAGAGGAACTGAAGGAGTGAGGAAGGGAGTGGAGAGAGAGGAGGGAAGGAGGGAGGGAGGTGGAAGGGTGATCTGAGGATGTAGCTCAGTGGGTCTCCTGGGGCCTTAAGTTCAATCCCCAGCATCATGTAAACTGGGATGTTTTTATGGTGTTTATATTACACACCTGAATCCTAGCATTCAGGAGGTGGAGGCAGAAGGATCAGAAGGTCAAAGTTATTCTCTGCTATATAGCAAGTTCCAGATTAGTCTGTGCTAACCTGTCTCAAAAGAAAGTGAGGGTGTGCTGGGCAGATAGCTCAGCAGTGGGTAAGCACCTGCTGTGCAAGCATGAGTTCAGACTTCCACATTCAGATAAAAGCCTATCATAGTGGCACATGCTTACCCCCAGTTTTGGACAGGGTAGAGACAGGTGAATTGACTAGTTCAGTGAGAGACCCTGTCCAAAAAAAGGTGGAGAGCAATATAGGAAGACACATTCATGAATGCACAGGCAAATGCACCCCCTACACACACACACACCCCCCACATGCACACATACACCACATACAGATGTACACATAAAGTGGAGGAGGGATACTGAAAAGCAGACACAGGGCCACAACTCATGCCTGTAATTCCACAATTCCAGAGGCTGAGGTGAGGCAACCTGAGCTATACAGAAAGATCCTGCCTCAAAAAACAAACACAAAAGGTTTTCATGCCTCTTCAGTCTTCATCCTTTTGACTCTCACCCCACAGGAAGTCATTACTAGTAGTTTCTTACGTAGTTTTCTTTTTTTAAAAAAAGATGTCTTTTTATAGGCCAGGAGTGGTGGCATATGCCTTTAATCCCAGCACTCAGGAGGCAGAGGCAGGTGGATTTCTGGGAGTTCAAGGCCAGCCTGGTCTTCTTCATAGTGAGTTCCAGGCCAGCTGGGGATGCAGGGAGACACTGTCTCAAAAAGACAAAAAAAAAGAAAAGAGTGAAGGATTGGTGAGATGGTTCAGCAGGTGAAGCACTTGCTGCATAAGCCTGAAAATCTGAGTGTTTAGTGTTTAGCATTCTAAGGTACGTCTGTATCAACTTTGCCAAGTTTCAAGGAAGAGAATGCAGAAATACTGTAAGCACTGGAGGACGGGGTGTGAGTGCTGAGAAACACTGCCTTCTAGACATGGCATAGCTATTGCCAGCCTGGGCAACTCACTGCAGCTATTGTTGTCTACACAGGTCAATCCAACAATATCAGTCAATAGTCTAGCAGGCAGTACTAATGGATTCAGTGGGTTTTTACAAAAATAAAAGAAAGGCCCAGAAAATGGAAGAGGGTGTGGGTGTGTTGGAGTGTCTAGGGGGAGCAAGAGCAGAGAGTTAGGGGTGGACGTGATCAAGATACACTGCATACATATATGAAATTGTCTAAGACATTCAAAATAAAATAATAATAATAATAATAATAAAGTAAGAGGGCTGTAGCCTAATAACCATATGCAAATCAGTTGTTCTTGCAAAGCTGGTACCTCCCAAATCCAGAGGAGTTTCCAAACATGTCAGAGCCCTTTGGCCAAGATTTCTGAGCAACCATTAGAAGATGGAATCTAGAACACCATCAATCATGTGCAGTAACATCAGGGAAAGACGACTTATCAAATACTTAATGGTGTCACTCTCGTAGGGGCATCTGAAAGTGTCCTGAAAACTGGGTAAATGCTCAGAATGGGTGAACTCTACCATATGTAAACAAGATTCAGCCATGAAATAGCCCAGAACATGGTAACTGAGAGAAGCATTGTTAAGTCCAGTCCACAGACATGCAGGGTATCACCTAGAGATATCAGACTGGTGCTTGGCTGCTCCAGAATAAGTAACACGTGTGAATGGAAGTCACCAAAGTCACAGTTAAGACTCCATCCTGGGGGCTGGAGAGAAGGCTCAGTGGTTAAAAGCACTGGCTGTTCTTCCAGAGGACCTGGGTTCAGTTCATGGCACCCACATGGTGCTAACAACCATCCTTAACTCCAGTTCTGGGTAATTCAATGCCACCTTCTGGTCTTCACAGGCATTGCACACACAAGTGGACTTACATGCATGAAGGCAAAACACTCATACACATAAAAATAAATAAAATCAGATCCCCCTAGAACTGGAGTTATTGATGGTTGTTAGAAATTTTCTTTCTCCACTTATAGAATCTGGTTTTTTTTCTCTGTAATCATTTCTTTTAAGGGGAGTGTTCTTTTGTTGTTGTTGTTAGCTGCCATGTAGGTGCTGGGACCTGAACCTAGGTCCTCTGGAAGAGCAGCCAGTACTCTTAACCACTGAGCCATCTCTCCAGCTCCTTGGGCTTTTTCTTTTTCTTTCTTTAAAAAAATTTTTAATTGAATTTTTGTGTATTTCATATAGAAAATCATCTTTATACCCCCTCCTCCTTTGACACCCTCCCATAGCCCCCCATGGGAGTTCATACATTCTGTCATATGTGTTAAGGCCTATCATGTAAAGTTAGGGTCCCCAGATGTTCCTCAGTGCAAATTCATTCACTGGGATCTAGTCAGCCTATCTAGAGTCCCTCCCTTTAAGAAGATCAGCTCATTCTCACCCAGCAGTAATCAGCCACCAATAATTCTTCGACTAAGATTGGAGCCTACTGTTCATTTCCACAATTCTGTGCTGGGTTTTTGTCTGCTTAAGTTTGCATGGGTCTTGTGTATGCTGACACCATTGCTGTAGGTTCATATGGGAAGAGTCCCAGGAGCCTGTAGAACTATTTTCGTATGGTCATGCACCTCCTCCCTGGCTCTTAGAATCTTTCACCCCTCTTTCACAATGGTCTCTGAGCCTGGTGGGTGGATTTTAATATAGGTGTTCTGTCAAAGGACCCACACTCTGTAGACTCTTATTCTCTGCATTTTGGACATTTGTGACCTTTTGTGTTCCTGGTCCTCTGTTGCATGAGGGAGCTTCATTGATGAGAACCGAAAGATGTATTCATGTTCTCCTCATCCCTTGCTCTATGTTCTATGAGCCTTAGGTGTAGAGATTGCATCTAGATGTGCCACTTAGGCGTAGACAATTCACAATCTGTGTGTGACCAGTTGTGTAGCTTTATAATTATCTCTGTCTCTTGAAAAAGAAGCTCTTTTGATGGGTGGTGACTGGGATACTTGTCAATAGATTTAAGGATCCATGTTTTGCACATAGTAAGAAATTATATTTGTCTAGGGATATGACAGCTTTGGAGTTTTCTCTAAGATCTATGACCTCTCCAGCTATGTGTATTTGCCTAGGTTTATAGTACCACACATGAGTTTCCTCCCATTGAGTGGGCTTTAAGTCCAAATATTTTGTTTTTAAGAGATGAGATCTTGTCGTATTGCTGGTCTCAAGGGATCCTCCTACCTTAGCCTCCTGGGACTATAAGTATACAACACAATGCCCAGGTAAGGCGATAGTTTTTTTAAACTTTCTTACCTATGTGTATGGTACATATGTATGTATGCATGTATGAATATACATTCATTCATCTAATTTTTACAAACTGAGTATATATAACCTCCACCCAGGAACTCCATTGTGGCCCTTCTCAATCACTTTAACCCCTCAATAGCCACTATCTTGACTTCTATCCCATTAATTAGCTATGTCTGTCCTTGAATTTAACAAAAATGGAAACATGAACTGTGATAGTTAATTATCATTTTTCAACTTGATTGGATTTAGAATTACCTAGGAGATACACCTCTGTGTATGTCAATGAGGCTATCTCTAGAGAAGTTTAACTGAGGTGGGAAGACTAACCCTGAATGTGGTCAGCACCATCTGATGGGTTGGGGTCCTAGGCTGGATAAAAAGAGGAAAAGGGAGGGGCTTTCAATTGCCCACTGTTTCCATTAGACAAGTCAACTGGACAAAGAATAAACAGAGACATCTGAATTAAATGATACCATACATCCAATGGATCTAGTAGACATCTACAAAATATTCCACCCAAACACCAAAAAAATACATGTTATTTTCAGCACCCCATGGAACTTTCTCTAAAACTGACTACATACTGGGGCACAAAACAAACCTCAACCAATACAAAAAAAAAAAGAAAAAAGAAATGAAAGAAAGGATGAATGAATTCCATGCACTCTATCAGACCACAACACAATAAAACTTAAAATCAACACCAAAAGAAGTCCTAGTAACTGCATGAACTAATGGAGATTAAACAACACACTTCTGAATGATGAATGGATCAAAGAAGAAAGAAATAAAGCCAGGAGTCATAGTGTGTACCTTTAATCCCAGTACTTGGGAGGCAGAGGCAGGTAGATG